GATGAGGAGGAGGACGAGGAGGAGGAGGATGAGTACCAGTGGAAGTCCAAGACTCATCAACTATATTGCAGCCGACCCTCCTTCCAAGTTTCCTTTTCATTAGCCTCTGCAGAGTTTCGGCTTCACTGAGGGAAGTGCCCCCGTTGGAAGACAACCGCCAGACAATCTTGCACCATGCCAGAACACCATTCCTGGGACTCCAACGCTGCACTTTATCTTTGCTGTTGCGTCCTGGCGACCCTGGACCGTGCCAGAACGCCATTCCTGGGCCATCGACACCGCATATCAACGCAACCTATGCGCCCTGACAAGTCCGGCATCGCGCCAAAACACAATGCTTGGGACGGCAACCATGGTAACCCCCTTGAGCTTTTGGAGCCTGTCCAGCGACTGTGCGCAGCGCGCAGGCGAGAGCCGAGGGCCACGCATGGAACACGATGCCGCCCGCCACCCGCGACTCTCTTGCAATTCTGAAGCGACGAGCGCTCGCGGCGCTCTGGCGAGATCCGCATGTCGAAGCGGGCCCGCGCTGCCTCCGTGGAGCTCTCTTGCAGCGTAAACGTCGAACGTCGAACATTGAAACATGAGCCGCCCGCCACCCGCGACGCTCTTGCAATTTTAAGAGACGGGCGTTCGCGGCGCTCTGGCGAGATCCGCATGTCGAAGCGGGCCCGCGCTGCCTCCGTGGAGCTCTCTTGCAGCGTACACGTCGAACAGAGAGCGGCGCTGCGGCGAGAGCCACATGCCGACAGCGGGCCGCCCCCCGCCCGTGAAGCTCTTTTTCCCCAACGCTCCCCTGGTTGGGTTCCCGTTTAGAAGAGAGCAGCGGGGTGATAACTCACTCCTCCTCCTCCTCCTCTTCCTCCTCTTCCCCCTCCTCCTCCTCCTCCTCCTCCTCCTCGTCCTCCCGGGGTGTCCTCCTCCACTCCTCCTCCTCCTTCTCCTCTTCCTCCTCCCCTTCCCCCTCCTCCCTCCTCTCCTCCTTTCTCCTCCTCCTCTCTCCTCCTCTCTCCCTCCTCCTTCCTCCTCCTCCTCCTCCTCCTCCTCCTCCTCCTCCTCCTCCTCCTCCTCCTCCTCCTCCTCCTCCCCCCCGGCTCTCCTCACGGCTCTCTCCTCTCGCATCCCTCTTGGGGGCCGCGCAGTGTCAGATTGTCGCCGTTTTCGCCGGGGGAGCCGGCACAGTGGGGCCCCACGCAGGCCCAAACGGGACCTCGCCATCCCTGGGGGGCTGAGAAGTGTGACGCTGTCGCCATTTTCGAGGGTTGCTGGGGGAGCCCGCGCAGTAGGGCCCCATGCAGACCTAAACGGGACCTCGCCATCTCTGGGGGGTTGCGAAGTGTGAAGCTGTCGCCACTTCCGAGGGCTGCTGGGGGAGCCCGCACAGTGGGGCCACACGCAGACCAACGCGGGACCTCGTCATCCCTGCGGAGCGGCGACGTGCGAACCTGTCGCCATTTTCGAGGGCTGCTGGAGAAGCCCGCACAGTGGGGCCCCGCGCAGGCCCAAACGGGACCTCGCCATCCCTGCGGGGCTGCGTAGTGTGAAGCTGTGGAAAAGGGTATGCAATGAAACAGAGACGGCGACATGGGAAGTCAGATGCAGGCTGGGGGGATGCTTTGTTCCATCAGCGTAGCGAGTTTCAGCTAAGTGTGAGCATAGCTCTGCGAGGGCAGGGGGCGGGAAGGGAGACGGATGGTGAGAGGAAACTTGATAGGTTAGGCGAGCCTGGTAGACGAGCGGTTTGCACATCAGAAGGGAACAACTGGTGAAACTACATGTTTGTCGCAAATCGGAGGTTGGGGGGTGAGATCGCAGTGAAACGGAGACCCCCCACCGGGAAATCGGTTTCGGTTTCGTGTCGTGCGTGCGGGCGAGGCGAAGCTGCGCGTGATCCTCCTGTAGCTAGGCCGAAGTAGGAGCGAAACTCCGTTTCCCGTCCGCCAGTGGCCGGGAGGTGTCCAAGTTGGGCCTGGCGGTGTCCCGGGTGTCCCGCGGTGTCCCGTGGTGTCCCGTGGTGTCCCGTGGTGTCCCGTTGAGTGAGATCGATAGTGAGATCGATATTGAGATCGACAATTGTCCCATGGTGTCCCGTTGAGTGAGATCGATAGTGATATCGATGGTGAGATCGATGTGGTGTCCCGAGGTGTCCTGTGGTGTTCTATGCTGCCGTTGAGTGAGATCGATAGTGAGATCGATAGTGAGACCGATAGTCAGATCTGGAGATGTCCCGCGGTGTCCCGTGGTGTCCCGTTGAGTGAGATCGATAGTGAGATCGACAAGTGTCCCGTGGTGTCCCGTGATGTCCCGTTGAGTGAGACCGATCGTGATACGATTGAGTCAGATGTTGGTTCTCCCCCTTTCTTCCCCCCCCACAACCTCTTTATCACCCGAAGGGTGGTCGTATAGGTATGGTGATATCCGTCCTTGCAGTGTTGCGCTCGCGGCCACGTCACAACCCTCCCTGGCACAGGCGGCGCTTGCCCGCAAGAAGAAGATGGAGGACTCCTTTTCGCTGAAGTCCTAAGCGAGCGGGGCTGGTAGACCATGCAGGTGCAACGGCACCACGGTTGATAAGGAAGTGGATGAGGTGGAGGAGGAGGAGGAAGAGGATAATGAGGAGGAGGAGGAGGAGGGCCAGTGAAAGCCCACGACTTACCGACGATGTTGGAATCTACCCTCCCTTCAAGCTCCTGCATCACTGGCACTTACAAGGGTTCATGCCCACTGAAAGAAGTGCCCCGTTGGTGGACAACCGTTGGAATATCCTGAAGCGTGCCAAAACACCATTCTCGGAACTTCGACGCCGCGAATCAAATTGTTTGTTGCGTCCTGGCGATCCTGAATCGTGCCAGAACAGCCTTCCTGAGACTTCAGCACAGCGCATCAGCGTACTTGTTGCCCCTGTATAGTCCTGAACCGTTTCGAAACGCATTTTTTCGCACGTTAACCATGCGATCCCGTGAAACTCTTGCACATGTTTAGAAATACTGTACGCGGCGCTCGGGCGAGGGCCACATTCTGAGAAGGAGCCACCCTCAATCCGTGACGCCCTTGCAAATGTCAAGACGAGGCCACGCCGCGCTGAGGCGAGAACCGTCGCTTGAGAACCACTCGCCTTCAACCCGTGAAACCCTTGCACATTCAGGAGGAAAAGAAGCACACAGACACAATTAATCCTCGATTCCCCGGAAAATATGGGAAAATATGGGAAATGGGGGGGAAGGCAGACACCCAGAAAACATGGGAAAATATGGGGAACATTTTTATTTGTGTGTATTTATGTGTGTGTCCTGGGGCCTCTTCAAAAATGTTTAAGACGAGTGTGCGCGGCGCTGAGGCGGGAGCCGCATCTGGAACACCACCCGCCCACCGTCCGTGAAGTTCTTGCATCCGTTTCACGCCATGTTGCGTGCGGTTAGGGCGAGAGCCGCATGTTGAAACCCACCGCCCTCAATCGAAGGATTGCAACACAAACCAGAAGGATTGCAAAAAGACCCAGGATTGCAAAGCAACCCAGGTTTTTTTTTGCAATCCTTCAGTGCAATCCTGGTTTTTTTTGCAATCCCTCGTTCAATTTCTGACGCATTTTTTACTCGACTGTGTGCGGCGCTGAGGTGAGAACCACATGCTGAACACCACACGCCCTCGATCCGTGAAGCTCTTGCACATGTTTACGGCGACCTGTGCGCGGCGCTCATGCGAGAGCTGCGCTCTGGAGGCGACGGTCCCTCCACATGTGCAGCTGCTGCCAGTTTCTAAGCTTTAAGCCTCACCCGTGGTGAGGAAGTCGGGGGCGAAACGGCTGGCCTGCCCTTCCGACCAGCTTCGGGGTGTGACGTGGAGGAGTTGCTCTGCAGAAAGCGGAGGATGATGAGGAGGAGGAACAGGATACTGAAGGAGGAGGAGCAGGAGGAGGATGATGATGAGAAGGGGAGGAGGAGGAGGGGCAGGAGGAAGAGGAGGGGGAGTAGGATGAGCAGGAGAAGGAAGAGGAGGAGGAGGAGGAAGAGGAGGAGGAGGAGGAGCAGGAGGAGGAGAAGGAGGAGGAGGAGGAGAAGAGGAGGAATATTATGATGATACGGATGACGATGATGGTGGTGGTGATGATGATGATGATGTTGATGGTGGTGGTGATGATGGTGATGGTGGTGCTGATGATGATGATGATGACAATAATGCTGATGCTGATTATGCTGATGATGCTGATGATGCTGATGATGATGATGATGATGATGATGATGATGCAGATGCCGACGATGATGATGAGCATGAGGAGGAGGAAGAGGAGGAGGAGGAGAAGGAGGAGCTGGAGGAGGAGGAATAGGAGGAGCAGGAGGAGGAGCAAGAGGATGAGGATGAGGACGATGAGGAAGAGGAGGAAGAGGAGGAGGAATAATAGGAGGAGGAGGAGTTGCAGGAGGAGGAGGAAGCCACGGGCTGAGGGGGGCAGGGCCGTCGTCGCCCTCGTCGGTCGCCCCCTCGTGCTCGGGCTCGCGCGCCGCGGGCCATCGCTCGGCGCCGCGGCCGCGGCAGGCGCCTCGCCAGGACGCCTCGTGAAGGCGAACCATCCTGGCATCGGCGCCAGCGGCAGCAACGTGCTCAGGCGCGCACGTTGCTCCGAGTCCTCGCTGCCGCGAGGACCCTCGCGGAGCACCACAGCGCCCAGCCCGACGACAAGATGGCGCAGGACTGGAAGCACCAGCGCGTGGCCTCTCGTGGTCATCCCGTCGGAGCTCAGCCCTGGCCGTGGAGGTCGGGATCTCGGACGCGACGACGAAGGACGTACGGGAAGAACGACGACCAGAGCTGGCAGCAGGACCGCGACGGCCACGACCAGTACGACTGCGACGCCAAGGACGAGCATGCTCACCACTTCACCCACCACGGCGAGGACACCCACAAGAAAGGCTCACGGGCTCGCTCCACACCTCGCACAAAGTCACGGACGCAGAGCAGGAAGCACTACGGCGCGCACAACTTCTTCGACGGCTTCCAGTTCTCCAAGAAGCAGCGCGAGATCCTCGACCAGGTCCTCCCTGCCGACGACGTGCGCATGCAGTCCCACGAGAGCTTCTCCACGCCCCCGCTGGAGGAGGACATGCGCCGCCTTTGGGTGACAACCAAGCGCGGACGCATCGCTCGGTTGGCAGACCAAGCTCAGGGCGCACGCGCCGTCGGCGTCGACGATGCCAAGATCGTCGCAGAGCTGTCCGTCAACAAGGCAATGCTCCTCCTCACGTTGTCTCCCGACGAGCGGGTGCACTACTACCGCCGATGCATCGACACCACGGTCAGGCAAAAAAATGCGCTCAAGGACGACATCAGGAAGATGCAGACCGAGTTCGACAACACGGAGGGCAGCTTGAGGATACTACGGGCTCTACTCCAGGAGTCGAAGTTGAAGAGGGACGACGCCACACCCGACCTCGAGTATGACGACTTCTACAGCGACAACGACGAGAGCGAGAAGGACCACCACAACAGGCGCAGGACTCGGACACAGACACCTCACCCACGACAGCGCGAAGATCATCGACCCCAGCAGTACGCAGCACCAGCAGCAGCACCACTTCGACAGCAGGACGACCCACACCAAAAAGGTCACAAAGAGCTGCTCGCGATGATCACGGACCTCTCCAAAAAGGTGGACCAGCAGCGACAACACACGGGACCCCATCAGCACCACCTAGCTCACCTCCAACAACAAGCTGATCTCCGACAATCCGAGCACCGCGAACAGTTGCAGGAGGAGTTTGCGCGCATGGAAGCACACACGTCTCGGAAGGCCTTCAACGAGCTTCATCTCGAACTACAGCACCACGAGCAACGACTCCAGCGCCGCTTCCAGGAGGAGATAGACGAGATCAACGTGCGCAACCGCCACCTAGAACATCAGCAGGCACAACGGTTCCTACGACAGTCCGAACAACGACGCCAGGAAGATGAAGCTGAACAGGCACATCGCATGAAGACCGAGCTCGAACAGCACCAACTACTTCACGACGCCGCACGTGGTCACCTTGCACGGCGGGAAGCAGTACAGCAACACGAACTACGGGAGGCTAAGCCATTTTGGCTCCAGCATCTAATATCCGAGCACCGCCTTCAACAGGAGGAAGCTCAGTGTGCTCACAACCTCCTACTTCAGCACGAGATGAGAGGGCAGCAACAAGAAGACGCACTTCGACTGGCTCAGCAACGACAGCTTCATGAAATCAACTGCAGGGCTCATGCGGAATCATCGGCACTCATGCAAGCCAAAGAGAAGATCCTCGAGGAGTACGGTGAACTGCGTGCGCAACAACACGAAGCAGCCACGATTCGCACCGAGCACCAGCACGAACGAGCCCGACTCCAAGGCGAACGTGCCAACCTACACCTCACCGAGCAGCAGCTCCACGACAGGTACATCAACCGCCTGGCGACGACCGAGGAGATGCGAATAAAGGAAAGGGAGGAAATGCAACGTGAGTTTCGACAAGCCGAGCTTCTTCATGACCCTCTTGATCTTGAACTGTTGCAAGAATTGAACACGAGATTCAGCGAGAGAGTCGAGGAGGAGAACAGACAGCAGGCGTTAGCCGACACAGAGGAGAAGCGCATCCACCGCGAGATCGAAGGCGCCCTCACCGCGATCATCCCAGGCCCCTACGAGCTGCCTCACCCACACGCCGACATCTACCTCGAGCAGCTACGACAGATGAGCTCTCCACCGAACGCAGCTCATTCCACGTCCGACTCAGACGCATGGAGCTTACGAGACCTCGGCGTTGCAGCCGCACCACCCACCTCACCACCCGCCCCGAACCCCGACCACACCCACGACAGAACGCCCACACACCCTCCAGCCAGTATCGCCCCACTCAGCGATGCCGACCACGACAAGCCCTCTGAAGCACACCACGGCGATACACAAGCACACCAATCGAGTTCTCCAAGATCTTCGTGCTCTCCCACGCCCATCGCCGACGACGGCTACCTCTCTCAGTACGACGACGGACAGTCTACGCCCATTCCTGACCTTCATCACGACTCCGACCTCGAAGGCACCGACACCCCCATCCCAGCTGCGCAGGCCACTCCCCCCACCCCACACATCATCTTCCCCGAAGTGCGTGCCATGTCCGCCCCCCCCGACACGAGATCGACACCCGACGACCAACAGCGATCCACGCCCCTTACCACAATTCTCATCGAACTCAGCGACGACGAGCACGAAGTACCCACCACGCCCAAGACTCGACCGATCACCAGCATCACCCCAACCCAAGCCTACAGCCCCATCATCCCTCCACCCAGATTCCATATGGGAACGCCCGACAGGGCCCAGTCAGCGCCACCCTCACGAACCCGATCGGCCCTCAAGAGACAGGACTCCACATCACGACCACCGCGGAAGGTCCGTATCCACGACAGCGGTGACGGCTTCGTGGACATATCCGACCGCGTCCCTCTCCGTGCCGATCCCGACGATGAAGGATCGGACACCGCGCTGCGTCC